GGAAAAAAATGGCATTTCAGGGTAACTAAAACATGCTTTTTGACATGTCTAGCCTTTTTATGATATCAAATTACAGATTTAGAATTATTCTGACTGCATAACTTTCGCTTACAAGATTTTGTTGAGAAAAAGTTATTAGTGAACGAGGTAAAAATTTCAGTCGAGTGAGTAATGTGGCTAAAGCTTATTTTTTTTAACCATCAAATAAATGAATCAACCATTGTTTCATATATGTTCACAATAGAAAGATAGATGAATATAATCGATTGATAGATAGATAGACTGATATATAGATAGATTTTAGAGAATTTAGAGAATGAGAGATAGAGAGAGAATTTTCATGGTATGGAAAAATCATAATTGCTCCCTTTTCCCTAAGAAAAATGCGATGCTTTAAGTCACTTATTGACCCCTACTTATTTCAGACTGGATAAAATAAAAGAGAAACGAAATTTTGCTATTAAACAATCATTCTTTCATCATTTCTAAAAGACCCATTTTCCTTTTATAACATTTACGAGAACCTTCGGGAACAAACCAACCTCTAAAAGTTTTATAACTTTATAACGTCTATATCTCAGATCCTGAAGTGACTTCATCACCGAAAAGTTATCTAACTAGACTCAAATAATTATTTATCATACCCAAAGTTGCACGAATATAAAACAAGCCTTGCACGTTTTTTTTTTTCAAAATAAGTTAATATGGTAGATATTAACGCACTTTGAAAAGAAATATTTTTTGTCAGAGTGCGTTAACTTGGTCCCAAAATTAACGCACTTTGAATTTATTTTCAAACGTTATAACAGTCCATTGAAACAATACAAATCGGTACACTCAGGGATTCTCTCCTTCATGTACAATACACAGGATTTTATGAATGTAACAACTGGGAGACATAAACCCGATGTGCAAGTGATAAGGGTCATATTTCTACATATGTGAGGGAGGTTGACAATAGAATAGGTGAAGTCATCACGTTTATAATAAAGTTTTATATTTAGGGTACCATACACGTCTTTTTCAAGTAAAATATCCAAATATAAAACAGAGTCAGACTCTATTGCATCTTTTATTTCATGTTCACTGTGATATATAGAGTCAACATATGAATGGAAGAAACTATTGTTATTTGATAATAAGTCGTCGATATATCTAAATGTCGAGTTGAAGGCCATAGCAGATGTATAAATTTTTAAATAAATTTATCTTCATATGAATACAAAATTTGATCTGCTAATATCGGGGCGCAATTGGTACCCACGGAAATTCTAAGAAGTTGTTTAAAAACTTGATCTCCAAAAAACTACAAAGATATTCTCAATCAGAATCTAAAGCATATTTTTCATATCAACTGCAGAGTACTTTTGTGTACAATCAGAATGTTGTTAGCAAAAAGATTTTGCAAATGGCCAATAACAGGGTAAATAAATTTAAGAGATTATTTTATTGAAAAATAAGCTTCCTGTAATTTCAAAAAGGTTTGACTTCAATTTCTCGTGGGGAATGGTTGTATGAAGTGTTTAAAAGTCATTACGTTTTGATGTTTTGATTTCCATCTCCTTAAAAGTTCCTTTGAGTTTTTAAGTATTAACATCTGATTTAATCCCCTTTTCGAATATACTGATTAAAATTTAAATTAAATAAAAATGAACAGGGAATCATTGTATTGTTTAAATTAAAATCTGATTTGTAAGTATTCGGCGTTAAAAGATAAAACGGAATCAAAACACACAATGAAGATTCAGAAAATAAGACACAAATGTTACATTTGAAAATGGTCTCTTTGTTGGTCGTGTAGTTTGCCGTCTAATGGAAGCATTTGCCATTTAAGGAAAACTTTAATTTTATATAATCATTTGGACATTTTTTGTGTTACAGCGTATCAATTCTTGCGAGTTAATCTGAATATCTTAACCTTTTTATCTGAAAATAATTCTAAGGAGAATAAGTGCAGTCGTTACTTTGTTAACAAAACGGCTTTTATTATTATTTTTTTTTTATACCAAATTAATTTTGATGGTCTTTATATATTTAAATCCTCCGTTTAAAAACAAGTATAAAACAATTCTATGTATATTGATGTTTTTTTTTTTTTAATTTTGTTTACAGTATCTGTGTCATGAATCTCCGAAACAGTGATCCTCTCTGTGCCCTGTGTAACGCACCTGCATTACAGAGTTATTGTAGTACTTGTCATATTTATGTATGTACCTCCTGTCTACAGTATCATATTTCAAAAACACACAATGTTGTACCATACAAAAAAAGAAATTTTATGCATAAGTACCCAAAATGTCCAAACCACACCAAGGAACATTGTGAACTTTACTGTGAGAAATGTGACATTCCCGTCTGTTTTAAATGCATCATTCTTGGTAAACATAATGGTCATCACCTCACAAATATTACGCAAAAACTCAGTTCAACATCAGAAACAATCCCACCTCAAAGGTTTATGGCATATATGAAAAAAGGAAAGACTGCAGTTCGCCACGCTCGAGGAATCGTGGTAGGATGTGCTGGAGCTGGCAAAACGTCACTTTTATATAGACTATTGGGAAAAAGTCTTGACGAAATAAATAAAATAGAATCGACTAAAGGACTTCATGTCTACGAACACATTTTTTTGGTAAAAAATGACGAATTGATTGGTAAGAGTTATTTTATATTTTATTCATTTATCTAAGTTTAACAATGAAATCAATTCTGCCACCGGACTTCATGCTTATATATATATATATATATATATATATATATATATATATATATATATATATATATATATATATATATATATATATATATATAAGCACTAAAAATGACCAACGACAGGAACAATAGAAATTGTCAAATTTTCGGGACGTCCTGTCCCTTCCTCAGGACAAAGTAAGAAGTTAAGAAGTCATAAAAATAAAAGAAATAGAAAAACAAAAACGGCTAGTACTACTACTAAACTACCAAATACTATTTATTTACAATGTTACATGTTTATTTGAAGTTTATAATCAGTTGTAAAGAAAGAAATCCGGACCGCTATGAAATACGTCCGGTCTCTCGGGTGTACTCTGGTAAGGTGCGATTTACTTAATTGAACGAATCAATTATCGCTAATCAATTACGGCCAAGCAGTAAATCGTACACTGTCTTATTCTCTCAAAATAGCGTAACTTTACTTGATAAACAGAAACCAAAGAGAAATAATTTAGATGCATTATACATGTCATTTGGAAATGTTTTAGGACTGTTTATCGGATAAAAGAAATAATTAACAAAAATGTAAGCAAAAAATCTGTGCGTGGGTTGTTCAAATTCGGATAAGTTATCTGGGTAAAATCTAGGAAAAAAATTTTTTTTTTCTTGAGTTGATTTTTTCAAAAATTGAGAATTGTTAATTGAGTTTGATCATGTAACACCTATTATAAGTGAATATTGAGAGTTTTTCAACAATTTTTAGCATTTTTAAAAAAGTGAATTCTAAATGTACCCATGGTTTTTAATTACTTAGAGATATATTATAAATTGTTTCTTTATAGTAGAGGTGGCAACAATGTGTCATGTTTTTTTGTGAGAATGGTTTGTTTGTTTTTATTGGTCTTTATGGGCTCAATATAAATTCAAAGTACCTGAAAATCTCAATTTCCCCAATCTTTTCGGCTGTTACCATGGCAACCAAGACACATAGCAAACACATTTTTATGAAATATGTTTATAGTGTCAAGTTGTAATAATGATAAAACTTTCATCAAAGTTGGAGAAAATGCGTGGCAAAGAAGTTTAAGTATATACCAAGAATAGATCTTTAACTTAAGAAATAAATCTGACAATATGAACTTTAGTAGTAAAGGGATGCAAAAAATATTCGGGTAGCCCATCTCTTTCCTATTGACTGTTTTTACGAACTTTGTAGAGCTTAGTGATATTTTTTCACATTTTGAAAGAATATAAAAGAGATATTTTGTTGCAGTGTAAAAGAATATCAGAAGTATGGCAAAACTCTCAATTTTCCTTACCTTCCAAAAAAATGTTGTAAAATTGTAAAACAATACCCACTGGCCTCAGTGAAAGTGGAGAGAAAGTAAAAATCTATAATGACAAGGATTAATCTGCCAAGGTTTCTCTGTTGTGAAAAAAGACAGAAGTATTTTCCTGTCCGGAAACATTATATTACGCATTGGCATGTGAACATTAACCCCCCCCCCCCCCTCACACATACACAGTAAGTACACCAGAGCCCAGTGATTTTTTAAGAAAGTTTTTTTTATTTAACTAGACATACCATTTATCCAGTACACATGCACTTGCAATATTTCTTGTATAAAAATACCAATATGGACCCCACTCACAGTGCTTTTCTCTTAAAAAGATGGATATTTATTGGGTGGCCCTCAGATCTATATCTTTGGCGGCCGCATGAAATTTATATGGTCATTAATTGATGTGGCGACCGCCTGATAAGTTTCATGTGACTACTAGAAATATTTATTTTGTGATCGCCAGATGTCTTTATTTGACGATAAATTTATCTGGCGGCCGCCAAATAATATTATTTTTATCTGGCACCTACAGGCTTCCGTATAGAATAAACTGGAACACATTGACAATTTCATTACACGGTTACAGCCTAAAATATTTACCAAAAATATGATGACACATTATTTGCGATAAACAAGGTACATGACGTTTGAGGCCGATTTTTTTTTTTACATAAAATTTACGGACCATTTTTATTATTTTTAGAGCAGGAATCATATACAGAAAATGTATGAATTCTTCGAAACACCTCTTCTAAGCTCCAGGGTATTCACCTAAGAAAGTTTTAAATGCATGGTTATGACAAACAGGGGTGCCTTTTCTAAAGTTGTTAATTTTCTGGAAACTTGGTTAGGGGTTCTGGTGTGACAGCAGAGCTTAATTGATCATATAGTGAAAAAAATAAATATGAAGATGTCAAATAGTAATTAGGCTCAAAGTCCATTGGAAGAATACTACATGTTGTAATGCGAGCAGAGCAAACACAGATGTCTCAAAGATCAGAGGATGGATCAGGTGCCATGGAACAGTAAACATCCCTTGTAGACCAGTCACTCAAGCCGTGTGCTAATTGACATGATCAAGCAAACGGAAAAAATCCGTACAAAAGTCATGGTGAAAAAAATGGCCTCACAATTTGCATAGAAAACGTCATTCAACATTTGACTTAACGATAGATTGTATTTGCTTACAAGGTCATTGTATCGACCATGGAATTTTCATTATGTTGACTTTAAACGGGACTGTTGATATCTTTGTATCATCAGCTTACTTAACAATATCTTGCCTCGTTTAAGTAATTATTCGAATGTAGAGCATGACGTTGCTACATTTATGATGGAAGGTGATAACAGAAAAAGATACAATCATTACGTTTATCATAAAGATTTGTTGTTAGGTTGCCATTAAAGCCTTTTCCTGTAAAATAACCAATTATTTAACAGATGTGTCGGACTCTATGGTGTCCTTTATTTTGCGTCAAAAGGATATATTGAATCAACGTACGAATGAGTATGAATATTGTTTATTGATAAAAGGTCGTCAATATTGTTGGAAGATTTTATCTCCCAAAATTACATATAAAATGTATTTTTCTTTTTAAAAAACGTCTTCTCTGTCTATGGGTATTTAGCAGATAAAATGACCGCATGGTTATGATTAGCAAGCATGCATCTTTCAAAATTCTGAAATTCATAGCCCCTAAGTCAGAGGTTTTTATGTAAGGGAGGGACTCAAAGATATCCGTTAACTATGAAAGAAACAGAACATACTGAAACGAAATGTTTTTGGAGGTCCGTGTTTGCTCTGCTTTCGATTTGTGTTGTTTAAATGGACTTTGAGCTTGAATACTGTTCGCTATATCCATATTTCACATAAAAATTATGACATTGCTGTTCTAGAGAATCCACTTTTAAATAGTTAAGTTTGATATTCAAGTTTGCATTCTTATTTATGTTTTGGCCATGATACATTGTAGCATCCAGTGATAATGCCTTAAACAAACGACTGATCAGAGTCCCATTGTCTGCACTTCAAAAGATCGAGCAAAGTGATGAAAAGGAATCAATGAATAGAAACCATTTTGAAAGCCCATTGCCAAACACTGCATTGGGTCTGAATGAAAATGATACAGATGATCTACACCTGACACAAGATGAAATGAGAGAAATACTAGATGCAAAGGAAAATGAAACAAGTGTCAGTATGATTGATTTTGCAGGACAATTTGCTTATTATGCTTGTCATCAGATCTACATGAGATCGGAAGCATTCTACATACTGGTGATGGATATGAGTAAAGCTTTCCAAGATGCGGTTAATAGTGAAACAAATGAACGCCAGGGTTCTATCTTTTCTACGTGGACTTACAAAGGTATGATATTTATAAAACAGGATTACCAAATACTCCAAATCTAGACATCATATTCTCTTCAATAAAAGAAGGTCAAACTTGAAGTTCTCTGGCCTTGTTCGACCAAATAGGATTCGATACGCAAGAGCATGCTCTACGTATAAACAATTTCTAAAACAAGATAAATTATTGACAAACAAGATGATGAAACAAAAATATAAGAAGTCTCGTTTAAAGACATCATTTCGTTAGTTCTATGGTCGATACAATGACCTTATCAGCAAATACAGTTTATCATCAAGTCAAATGCTGACTGACGTTTTTCATACTAATTGTTAGGCCATTTTTACACACTGAATTGTCGACGGATTTTCCCGTTATTTCCCGATCATGACAAGGAGCACACGGCGGGAGTGACCGGTCGGCAGGGGATGCTCACTCCTCCATGGCACCTGATCCCACCTCTGATGCTTTGGAGGTCCGTGTTTGCTCTGCTCCTATTTTGTATTGTTTAATGGACTTTTGAGCTTGAATACTGTTCGTTATCTCTATATATTTCATTCAAAGATTTATAAGAGAAGCATAATTCTCATAAAGAACAAAAAAGGCACCACAAAGCCGACAATTCCTCGCAAGAGAGTACGATTCCTGTAACGCACATCCCAGTAAATGGACGTTACATTAACCCTCTCACCTACTTCCACGAAAAGACGAAACGAAATTCCCATATCAAAGGGACTCGAAATTAAAGAAACCACAGAGTCTTCCAAATCTGCTTTTTTTTTATATTTTACAGAAAATAGATCATAGTGGTCATCTCGCACGTAAACTGCATGATAAACGATATGACTTTAACTTTTACATGGTCGACTTTCCAACTTCGATATATAGGGTTTACGGCGGGTCAACAGTGACACTTACTCCTCCTAGTCATTTGATGCCAGCTGTTAAGGTTCCGGGGTCTGTGTTTTATTCCCTGTAAACAAATTTGTTTTGACTTTAAGAATTTTAAAGTCTATGTATGTATGGCCACACCAATAACATTTCTTGTTCTTTCGACAACTGACCCCCCTAAAATTGGGGAGAGCAAGCGATTTGATAATCATAATATTAATATTTTTTATCAACATAATTTCCAGGCGAAGAAGTCAAATAACGAAGCGAGCAATTGTATATTTTTTTTGTTTTCCTTTACATTTCTAGAGTAAATCATTATGAAGTCTTTTCCAAGTCCCCTGATCATATAAGCCATTCAATATTCTATACTTATGCATAAATAAAACAGTCATAACAATATTGTTGCTATGGTTTCTCACTTTAATTACATAATGACTTTCCTCAATATGTACAAAAACAATTAAAAAAAATATATATATTATATTCATTCGTTTACATGTTTAGAACATTATAGGACATTTGATACAGGTTCTTTAAATGTTTTCATAAAGGTACAAAATTCTGTACATAAATCTACTGATGATATAAGACATTAACTCTCCTATGCACATCAAACCTTTGGTCCATGTTTTTGCCCTGTTCATAATTGGAATTACATTAAACTACATTTATGAGATTTATCACTGTTTGTTACCTTCATTTGAAAACTGTATTCACAAAATGTGATGTGAACAGACTATATATACAATCATATAAAAACTGGCCAATTCAAGCAGCACTATTATTATTATTATTACTCTGTATTTATGCACAATATCAGAAGCCATTGTCCCAAATTTTAATTCACATAATAAAAAAAGGCACAGTAGAACCGTCAACAAGTATGTGTCACTACTATTTATCATTTACAATTAATGCCAGCAGTGATAAGTTATTATTACATATAGTAGGTCACAAATATATATATTAAAATATAATAAACACTGAGCTCAGAATAACAAGGTTGAACATCAGTTATAAAATGAAAAAATATTATTAAAACCAAAACTAGTTTTTTTTTCTCAAGAGTTGGCTGATATATATTTAGAAATAAAGTGTCAAAGTTGTTTAAATTTTATGGGAAGCTACTTCGACGAATCAAGGAAGATAGATACTTTGATTTCTTCTGGCTGATCCACGACAGCTTGGAATAAGTACATGTAAAAAAGGAATCTGTTAAAGAATTGTCTGAGGTGGATACCAATTACCGGTATTCTATGGCATTATGGAAATATTATCTACCTTCAGTTTGCATGCACTGTGGTTCAGCTGAAGATCTTCTTGAATGGTGTCTGCACTATATGAACAGTTCTCAGTTGTGAGTCAGAGTCCAGTTTATTTTCACTGTAGAAATTCAGGAAATACCACCAAATCTTGCTGGAGCTAGGGCTTCAACACTCAATATCCAAAGGAAATAAATGAAGTAGCTTAGAAGTCTACCTAAAATAAAATAGATGCAGCTTAATAAAATTGTTTAATACATGGTTATTCAGGGAAAAAAAATGTATATATGCATTTTTTTCTAGTCTTAATTCCTTACACTTACGTCTAGGCATCTCCACAATTTGATTTATGTCCATGGTGTTTTTATCTGCCTAAACATAACAGATCTGCTCTTTCCAATCCTCACTGTTCACCACGATGGAGGTATTAATTTAACTTGTTTCCTTTGCCGTAACTCTAAGAAGCACCACAGGAGTTCGCAATTTTATCAATAAAGTCAATAAAAATCACTCGATTGACCAAGCCATGAGCCATGCGTTAGCATAGCGAACAGGAATGCAACGCGTTTTGGGAGAAATTTACCAATTTGCTTTTATCCACTGCTTATTCAATACAACTTGTTAGCATTCATGTCAAACAACATTTCTCTGCTAAAATTTGTTCTCTAACCCTTCTCGAATGCTGTCAATACCCACTTTCTTCGATTTCGCGTAAACATTCATTTTACCGAGAAGCCATTGCGTGATGTCACATCAAACCCGAATCTGACAGATAATTATTAAATTAAAAAAAAAGATAGAGAATGAACTTTAAATTATTTTCTGTTGCTTTATATTATCTCCTACTTACCAAATTGTACCAGCAAAGTTGTTGGACACGACGAATTTTCCATTTTCCTTACTCAATATTTCAATTTGCGCGCACATACAACTGAAATTATCGCCCTTTGTTTTTGAACAGCTCGACATGGTTTCTCGTCACAAAAAAATATAATCGGGGGATATTAAGCATTATGATTTATTCAATTTATTTATAAAATAAAATATGTACAATAATTGACAACGTGTTTATTCATTTTTTTTATTTAAAACAATCGAATAATATATTTGTCGGGTCCGGGTTTGATGTGACGTCACGCAATGGCTTCTCGGTAAAACGAATGTTTACGCGAAATCGAAGAAAGTAGGTATTGACAGCATTCGAGAAGGGTTAGAAAGCAAATTTTAGTAGAGAAATGTTGTTTGATACGAATGCTGACAAGCTGTATTGAATAAGCGGTGGATAAAAGCAAATTGGTAAATTTCTCCAAAAACGCGTTGCATTCCTGTTTGCTATGCTAACGCATAGCTCATGGCTTGGTCAATTGAGTGATTTTTATTGACTTTATTGATAAAATTGCGAACTCCTGTGGAAGCACGCTTAAAACAGTTTGTGCAACTGTGTGTGCCTCATTGGAGTTAATGACCGTGTTTTTTTTTACGACAGATACCGTCAAATTAGCTCAATAGTCAATGGATGTAACTGTCCAGAGTGTCAAATATCCTTTCTCATGCAAATTGATCAATGTTGTCTCAGTTTTGCCGACGCGTAAAATTTACTACTTATTACCGAGCATTAAAAATAAAACAAAAAAATGGGGCGGGAAATGGAACAAAAATTTCCGGAAGCAGGAAATTTAATATAATATTATTTTTTACGTTTCTTTAAAATACGAGCGCGCGGGTCCGACGTACAAGAAATTTTATTAATGTGGCCTTTGTTTCATTTACCTTTTTATTCATACAAAATCTGCTTAACCTTCATCACAATATTACTTACGAAAACAATGTTCCAATCCGCTTGAAGTTACTCTTACATGTAAAATTCGCACCATTATGAAGAAAAAAAAATTATTTATACTAAATAAAAGAAAACTAAATGAGAAAGCATGAGTTCAATAGGTACTCAAGTTATATAAACTTGTATTACCTTGGTCAGAACGGTTAGGCTTTTTAATTAACTATTTTGCGACTTATAAAGAATAAAATGCAATAACTCCCTTTATTCAATATAACATGAGCTGCAATTTTCATTCCTTGATATAAAGTTTGCATTACAATTGCTGTGATAAATGATTTAAAATGAAAGTTTACATAAGGGATTTATTTTTGGTCCAGGTAATTATCATGGTCCATCGATCTCGTATGTCCATTTTCTACGTTTGTGTTTATTAATAATAATTGAAATGAATTATATTTATTACTGAAATTTGTTACTAGATTATCTTTACTTCTGGCTTGACTCCATAAAATCGTTTAGTGGAACTTCTGCACAAATTCTTGTGGTGGCTACGCATGCAGAAGGCAAGACAGATGAGGTATTTGACATACGTTTTATGACAGATTCCTAATGAGTAAACTGTTGTAAAGCTCCAATATAATGCACCAAAATATCATTCAATAAATAACCTGCTTTTATATACTAGCGAAAAAAAAGAAACTGCACAATACTTAAAGTATAAAATATAAGAATTAAATATTAACGACTATAGATTTAAATCAGTAGCATGATTTAAAATGCATTGTTTACAAATATGTGGGATTAATTTGTGTTAACGTCATAAAACATCACTTGTAGGACGGTAGAAAGACACATTTACTTGAAAGGCGATTCACAAACTTAATACCGCGTATGGCCACCATTTGAATTCACGCATGTTTAACACAGGCGTCTCATTGATGATACTTAATTATCTAAAAATTCCTGGGGAATGTTGTTCCAGACATTGGTCAATTCCTGGCCTAAATCGTCCAATGGTTTAGTTAATAACGTAACCGTCTTTTCAATTCATTGCATGTGTTCAATTGGCGATACGTCGGGCGAAACTGCTGGGTAATAACATCTCTGACAACACGGGCAATGCGGTCTGACGTTATGCTGTTGCAATGTAATTGGATTTTGTTGTCATTACGCTATAACCTTCAAATTGTCGACGTTGCAGTACACACGCATCCAAGTAACTCTCCCCATTCCGAAGATAAAACCTGTCACTGCTGTCCAAATGAAATCTTGATTCATCAGTGAGCAAAAAATAGGCCCATTCTTAAAATCGGTATCTTAGATGTCTCTGACACCATCTTGTGACGTTGAAGTAGTATTGGACGTATCGGAGGACGTCTATGTCTTACGTTATACTCACACAAGTGATTATTTTTAGTTCTTGTACTTAAACCGGGGATGCTACGAGCAGTCAAACTTGCTGTCTGAAAATGATTTTGCAGATGCATGCTATGGTTATCTTTGCGAACCTACGACTCATGGGGGCGTCCTGAACGTTATCGATCCAAAGCGTAGCCGCATTGTTTGAACCGTCTCCATAATGTCAGGTTAATGTTTCTGACACCAAATTGTCGTGCAACAACGTTTTTGGCCATCCAAGCCTGCAACATTCCAGCAACATAAAGATATTGATTTTCATTTAGACTAAGCAGATTTATAGATCCTGATAATACCAAAGTGAATTTGTCTCATACAAACATCATTTACCTGAGATACCATGCGAGTACGATTCATTCAAAAACCAACATGTGGTTGCCCACCATGTAAAATCCGTCCAATAGTCCAAGCCTATTGTCATTAATATCACTACATCTATCGAATATTAACCGCTCATAAATATAAACAATATGCTTTGAGTCCTATCTTATATATACTAATGCAGTTTCTTTTTTTTTCGTTAGTATATTTATTATCTTTCAATGTTGGGGTTGGAGTTAAAATAAGAATAATGTGAGTAAAATTTGCTTTATTATTTTCATTGAACCGTTTGAAGCACAGTAATACAACTTACAATTTTTTTAAAAAATCTTAGTGACTTATACATTGCATGCGTTTACTCCTCAAAACTATTAATTTCCGGATTTTTTGAAGACGTGTTATTTGCCTAGATTACTATGGCACGACAAGTCAAGGAAAGCCTTGCAACGTTATAATAAATAAAGTTTTTGATGTTTCTTGTCGGTATTTTTCAGGAAATTCAGAGCTTATTTTGATGATGAACACAATTGTGACCTTGTTTTTATTTTACTTTTTGTACACCTAGTCGTTATAAATTTTCAAAATAGGAAAAGGACTCTTTCTGGGAGAGTCTTTGGACGTTATTACCAGAGTATGATAAGACGAGGATTTACGACAGTGACTTTGCATTAGGACTACTGGAGATGAATGAACAAGGGAGGCATGCTCTGGAGAGTCTAAAAACATCAATAGCAGACGTAGTATCGCAAATCATGGACACAGGGATAGAAGTTCCCTCAGCTTGGGCTCTTCTTGAGCATCTCTTGAAAAAAACAGAAAAACCTATCTTGTCAATCAGTGACATCAACGAAGAGAATAAGAAACTTCCTGAAGAATACCAATTGAAAAGTCAAGAAGAAATATATGATTTTCTGTCCTTTTTCCATAGTCATGGAGTGTTACTATTTTTTATGGAGGAAGGACTGAAAACACACGCAATTCTCGGTATACAATGGTTTTCCGATGCATTCAGTAAACTTATTGCCGACAAGAGCCACATAAATAGAGACTGTCAACGACGACATATCAAGGAATGGGACTATTTTAATGCCACGGGAAATCTGAAGAATTCACTTGTAGATGCTCTTTGGAAAAAGGAACAATCTTATTTGGAACACAAGACTGAGCTTATGGCATATATGGAGAGACTACGAATGTTAGTCAACATTGGTGAGTCAGAAGGCGAAATATCTTGGTATGTTCCTTGCATGAACAATAAGCGTTTTACACGGGATGTTTGTAGATGGGAAAGGAAATACTCGTCAATTTTGAGTTTTCGGTTCATATCCTTTGCCATGTTCGTGTATTACAGACTTATTGCATATTGCATGAGTTTCCTCAAGTGGAATGTGCAGTTGGATAAAGAAAACAGCCTATGTCTTTATCACACAGCAGCAATTTTTGAAACCCAAAATCACACAGTTATCGTTGGTATAATTGATAATGACCTCCAGATTCAAGTCCTCCGAATCAAGAATCTGAATCCCAAAGTTTCATGTGAAATTGGAAAAACAATCGAATTTGCCTTAACAGAATTGACGAAGACATTTGATGAGAAGAAGTCCTTCGTAAAAGGTTACAAATGTTTGAATCTGTTCTGTAGTGAAGATGATATGTCATTTATTCCAGAAAATAAACTGTCTGGGGTCCAATGCAACTGTCCAATTGAGGAAAAACATGAAATGGATGTACAATGGACGCTCTATTTTTGGAAGGAGGTGCGTACCATGTTTTTGTTTTTAAACCAAAGCAAAAATAATAGAAAAATCTGTAAGTCTCTCCTTTGGACTTACTTTGACACGAAGTGATACGTCATGGCCACGATTTAAGGGTTTTTGTAAAACTTTTTTTTTAATTTAAAGCTTTTATGTGTGCTTTTCTTTTGTAGTATATATATGTTGTATTTAGAACAAAAATATTTCAAATTCATGATGAAAGGAAGTAAATAAAATATATATATATATATATTCTTATATATATATATATATATATATATATATATATATATATATATATATATATATATATATATATATATATATAAAAGTAATAAATATCAAGTTTAAAAACTTCACTGGGAAATGGGTTGGTACATGATCAAAACTTCGGAGGTCTGAGGTCTTCACAGGATTTGTTCACGAGACCAACCCACTTCATTTCCCAGTAAAGTTTAAAAACTTGTTATCTATTTCTAAAATAAACTTGGTAAATATAATACATATCACAAATAGGTTTCCAGTGCTCTTCATAATCTAAAAATATAAAATTTCTTAATATTGTCCCCACAATATTATCTAGCATTGAGATGCTTAGTTTAGGCACATTTTTAACCTTCTAACAAAAATTAATTGTTTAACAGTAAATATTAATATATTCTGTAGCTTAAACATGTTTTTATTGTTGAGTTTGCCAAAAAGGATATCTTTTCTATCAAAATTCATGGAAAAATGAAATTTATTAATAAACCACTTCTCAAGATGACACCATATTTTTTTTTACATGGACACATTCGAAAAATAAATGTTCAATTGTTTTAACATGTTGCAAAAGGAGCATGCAGGTGTTTCAATTAGTTTAAGTTTATCTGGTGCAATAATCCTGTGCAAAAAATGAATCTGCAACCAGTGAAACTTTGCTTCTTTACTTACTTTAAAAGTAAGTTCAAGTATTTTGTTCCATTCTATATCCCAAAAAATATTCCATTATTTTTCCTTTTTTCCATTGCCTTAATTGTTTATATTTTTCTTCTTCCTAATGAGAATACTGTACATATTTATACAGCGTTTGTTGCTTTTGTAAAAAAAATTATATAATGGGATTTAGGGATGAATGGTTAATTTTCTTCTCTTTTTTTCAATTTTTGTACTTTTCAATATTTTTAAAACATCTACTTTTAAACCCGTATATTCTACAAAATTTGTTTTTACATTTAGATTTGTGAGGTATTCAAGGTTTACAATTTTTTTAAACTTTGATTGCCATTTTTTTTAGTTAAGATAATAAATAATCGGTCTATAGTCATCTTGGAAATACAATTTTAAGTATATGAAAATTAAAAGAAAATTGACACATCGCAATTTGCAAGCCCACCCCTTTAAGAATATAATAGTCGTTTACTAATGAACAACTATATTTTCAGGATATTGTTTGCGACAAGAATCCAAAGTCGTTTGGAAGAAATCTTGACGGTCGTACTAGATTTGCAAAACTTGGAATGGCAATAAATGATGTGTTAACTCAGACATATAGAGACATTTTAGAGAAAGAGATTCCCTCTTCTCAGATAATGGGTAAAGTGGAATTAACAAAAAGATATAAAAACCTCCACTGTGAACAACAAAATCTTTTGAAGGACGCCAAAAACTCTGGTTATAAAAAATTTGATATAACTCTTCTCTATACTCTGATGAGAAACTTTTCTACAACAACCCCGAGGCCAACACATGGTTGGGGTTTAAAGGCCCCACCTGCAGCAGGGGAGATAACTGTGGGGGATGACATTGAAAGGATCCGACTGATTCGAAACAAAGTGTATGGTCACGTTAATTCAGCTTCAGTCTCACAAGCAGAATTTGATGATAACTGGTCAATCATCTCTGATATCTGCAAACGACTTGAAACATATACTGGAAAAAGCTACTCAAATGAACTTGATAACATTAAGAAACTTTCCTTGGGAGAAGATAGCCGAGAGGCAATTATAGAAAAAATTAAAGTAAACAAAGAAATACTCGATAAAATGCAGTCAATGGAAACTGGTATACAGTCTATACAGATAGATGCAAACTTAATAAAAGCAGATTTGCAAGAAATAAAATTAGCTGTGACTTGTGAGAGGAAAGGTAACCATATATTTTCATGTATCTGTGAAAATTTGCTAGTAGTAAAACATTAAGGTACTGAAAAAAGAATATTTTAGCAAAATATATTAGGGGGGACCAATCCACTGATATGAGTTAAATTAAAAACATTGACTTTTATGTACTTTTGCCTGTATTTTTCAAATTATATACAAGATTGGATTGTTGACTTAGGACAAATATAACTTTTGCATGACTTGTCAAAGGTTCAACAGGTATGTTGTCAATCACCCCTCCCCCCAATGAAAAGGAGGGTTTGTTTGTTGTCATCCTTGTAGTAACGTTTCATAATGTTGTCAAATATAATGAAAATACATTTAAAAGAAGTAAACATTTTGATATACCTGGATTAAGATCACCCTTATGAAATGAAGAATATCACAAAATTTAATACTACGCTTATGAGAAGAGATGAAATTATCATTGCTTCCCTGTCTTATTTTTTCAGATGAAGAGGAGTCTTGTTGGCCAAGAAGGTGTGGAATCTTGTAAATGTAAATGTACTGTTTGCTTTCAAATAACAGAAAAAGGATATTACACTGTAGTGAGAAAAACTTATTTTATAGAATGTTATCAATTATACATTTAGAGCAAACATATATTTTACTTTATTTACATTTGCAAATATTTTTCTTAGATGAACCTATTGAAGAGAAAATATGTTCAATTCTGTATGAACTTATTAGGGGGTAAGAGGTCATGGCTTGACCGAATCACACAGCGAGACGATATATTGTCTACATATTTCTGTCACAGTGAAACTGGTTTCGGAACTTATTGAAAAATATATTTTTTTTCGTTCAACAAATGATCATTAGATCTTTCTTCGGTGTGAAGAATGTTTTAATTAGCCTAAAATCACGCTTACCTCTCTAACCCGAAATTCCTTTGAAGGTATGTAAACTGAAGACGATAGCACCGCTTTTGACTTCATATATAAAGAACTCATACAATAATATTAGGATAATTCCCAGTAGCGATCATTGTTTTTTTTATTATGAACAGATATTTCCTGAACTGGACTGCTGAACATCAATGTAAATATTCAAATGTTGGAGTGAGACGAACTCTCAAGACCAAACAGCTTCTAGGTTATTGCGCGTCACAGCATAGCAATACGGCGGGCCGTTCGTGTAATAAATGCAGTTCTATCAAGAATATTCGTCTCAAATGTAAATAAAAGTAATAAACAACAATGTTAAAAATTTCACTGGGAAATGAACTTGGTTGGTACGTGATCAAATCTTCTGAGAAGCCCTTCGGGCTTCACAGGATTTGATCACGTGATCAACCAAGTTCATTTCCCAGAGAACTTTTTAACATTGTTTTTGATTTCTTAATTAATTTACAAAGTTCTCACCATACCATAATTCAGAAATATTAACTAAACTGTCATGCCATGTGCATATTTGTTCAATTCCATTACCTGTATATACTAAAATTGCCAGGCATATCTTCCTGTGAATCAATGCACTAAGTGTCTGCTGAATTTATACAATGAACTGATTCTATATCATTCGTATTACATACGTTTTGACTTTTGAGATGATTGATATGGTTTGATTGGTGAGGTTCAGCGGTCACACTTTCAAGTGCTTGGTTTTACAGCTTGCTGCAGCTTGACTTGCTAATTGGCGATTTTGTCATTGGATTCGGTCCTTTGTGATTCATTGCACAATTAGGTTTTTCAACCTTCCTGTAGAAATACCTATTGAAATTTTCTAATATATTTATGTAGCCAGTGGTAGATATATCAGAAAACTGAGACTGGGTCAGGCTCAAATATTTATTAAGATGGTAAACAAAAACGATGAAAAACCTGAAATATTAATTTAGACAACATTTAGACAGACAATTAAAACATACTAGACTTTATTTAGGAAAACATTTTATAACTTAAAGTTCTTACTGGGACACACAAGCAAAGTAACAAATATTGCTATCTGTTTGGAAGTTACGTCTATCCAACTCAATGGCTAGGCAAGGAGTGTATGTTGTTAGTAAAAGAAAGCGAATAGAATTGTAAAGTCATGTGATCGTCTGTCCAGTGTCTAAAAATAATACCACATACACACATAGTCTATCATACCACATACTCACATATACGAAAGCAGCGCAAATTGCATTTTATTTAATAAACATAGCCCTGGTTACATTTATAATCATTATTCGTCTGTTGATTTTTTGCTTCAAGTTTTATCAAAAAACCATACACCATAGAGGCATCAAACCTTCACTAATTCCTCAGTTTCTCATGACCAAACTTCAATCTATTCTATGTGAATGGATTTTACGAACATTTTTGTGGGTTATTGCCCTTTAATAGCGATTCTCTGTAACCATTTAAACTTCTTTGCCACGCATGGTCACCAATTTTGATTAAACTTTGCCCATTATTATAGCTTGACACCAGAAACATATATCAAATAAAACTTCATTGCTATGTGTCTTGGTTGCCATGGTAACAGCCAGAAAAGCTGGGAAAGTTGAGATTTTCAGCTGTTTTTAAAGGTCATAGGAAACGATTCTTAACATTAGGATTTCACTTTTTAAACCTAAAGCTATATATGAAAGAATGTTAAATTACGAGTAGTAATATTTTTTGGCCTTTGTTCTACTGAAAAATAAAGGTGAAAACTTTTCCACTTGTTACTTTTCTTACCCGCTTATCGTTCTTGATTTTGTGGTTTTATGACGTCACAAGAGCCCACTGATGTAAACAGAGCATTAGACTAATGTATTTCTACCATATGTTTATCTAGTTAATTTGAACTATTTTTGTAAATATAAATGTGTCTATGTTTTCAGGTGAGTTATCTGATTTCGTAGTTCAGTTAATTCAGTTTGAGCGAGTCGTAAATAAGGCACGGCAACTCAGAACTGGGGCTTTTTATCGGAGGATGATGCTGATGGATATCATATATAAAATTACGCTTAAATTAAGCTACAACTTCGATTACTTACACTGCATCAAATCTTTAGAAACAAAAAAAATATTTCCCTGTTTAATACACATATACGACATTCCTGTGGGACGTGGAGACCGGTCCTTCGGACTGAAGAGACCGTATAAACAGGGGTCCCGTGTCGCAGTAGGTGCTGGCACGAAAAAGATCCCTCACTGCTCAATGGCCGTTAGTGCCGAGTATAGGACAAAATTTGCAGCTCTCCACCGGCAAGTGGTGGCGTACGTCTCCATATGAGTGAAAAATTCTCGAGAGGGACGTTAAACAACATACAAACAAACAAACATATACGATATTCCAGAAGGATTCCATCGTCATTAAAAAAGTTAATAAGTCGTTTTTTATTCCAAGAAAAATCGCATAATGCAACATAAAATAGAATAATTTATTAAAAGTGACCTTTTCTGATATGAATAAAAATTTTGATTAAGCCTATAATATTCTGTTAAAGAAAGAATATGACACTTATATGGGGAATATCTCTAATGTGAATCCCCAAAATAAACACGGGGCCGGTGGTATTGAAGTCCATGATAAGCGTGAACCACTGAAAATGTCGGCGTCTTTGAACATGTTGAAGTTTCGTTTTCCCCTATCCGAAACACACATATTGCTGTAAAAACGATATACCAATAGAATCCCTGAGTTTATGACATGATCGTATTCTTCTATATAAAATATATTATATATAAAGAAGAAATGTTGAGCCCAGAGCAAATGAGATTGTTACGATGCCGATACTTTGTGCAGACACGGTTTGACTCTACAATATCGAATTTTGAAATAATCGGTATGTAGTAGTAAACAGAACAGTCCGCGATCAGTTTGAAAATCCATCCATCATTTGCGAGACTACAATTTTAATATTAATAATCTTTTTAACAGATGATAAAACTTTTGAAATTATATCCTTTACAGAAAAAAAAAAATAAATATAATACACACTGGAAAAATAAACAGGTTTGTATACGATGCTAAGTACTGATCTATGATAATGAATTTGGTAGAATCCTTATTCTTCATAGAAATATTTCCACATGTTAGAGCTGCTTTTTTTTTAAACGTCGTTTGTACTAACTCCCATATATACAAGTTTACGTATAGTTCTTGCCAGAGTTGTTTTTAACCCATCTGCAGTGTGTTTAAAAACGATACGATTATTTCAAGAACTTTCAATTACAAAAAGAAAGAAATAAGAAATAACAAGGGGGATGGGAGGGGGGGGGCGCCAGAGATCGGGTATTAGTGGTGCTGTTGTACATGAGTAAGTGAAAATTAAGACAGTGTCATTTTTTTTTTTTTTTTTTTTTTTTTTTTTTTAAAGTCATGTGATACTTAATGCAGCAGGTACGTATCGTTTGTCAAGAAAAGTGTCATACTGACAGCGTTGGACTCTGTGTGAAAGTAAAACTAGGTTGTAAATAAATGATTTCATAAAAATAACTGCCCTGGTTATGAAAAATGAATTCATTCTCACTCTCCCTTCTTTCTCTCTTCCGATTGCTTTATTTTTCTCTCAATAGATCGAAGTGTCAAACTATGAAAATGATCACATTTTGATTGATAAAACATGCAAACATCTTGCAAATATGCAATGGAATTTTTAAAAAGAAATACTTGCTTGTTTGAAGATCGTGTATTTATACTAGGTTTTGGCCAAGATTATGATATTCTTTAAAATTAAGCTGCAAAATGACATGATAGTTTGTAAACATTGCATAGCTTTGAACAGCGATTGGGCCTTACTGACGTCATATGCTAAGGGAGATAAGCAACGTTAGTCAAAGTGTATTTTCACGACTGGGTAATTTTCATCGACTGTGCTGTAGCTATCTTGCGTTAAAAATCCAAAAAACAATTTCAGTCTTATTTTACCAGCTCATATGAACTTCTTCCCGTATGTTACTCAATATGTTCAGGTAATTGTCTCCTATGACCTTTAATCTTTATTGAGCCTTAATAAAGACTAAGAAAAACAAACAAACCATTCTCACAAAAACATGACACCTTCTTGCCACTTATGCTATAAAGAAACTATTTAGAATTTATCTCTAAGTAAGTGGTAATCATGGGTACATTTGGAATACATTTAAGATGCTGTAAAACGCTCAATATTCACTAATGATGAAACTCAATCAACAACCTAAGAAAAACAATAAAAATATTTGACCTTAAGTACATGTAATTAAGTATTGCCAATATTATTCTAAAAATAACTTTCATGATTGCAATGGTAACACAGTGTAACCATGCAAAATCTGTTGCTAAGATTGGGTTAATGCTACACTGTACTATCTTGAGAAAAAAAAACAATAAAATTCATGACTGGCACATATACATCCTTAGGAACTTGCAACACCGACAACGTAAGAAAAATTGGGATTTATTGTTACTTTGCAGTGTAAAAATGACACGACGTACCAGTTGTTTAAAGTTCTTGTTGCCTTAGGAATTTACTTACCTTTTAATCAAGAAACATATTATTTGACTCACCTTGAATAGTACTGATCTCGTAGAACTAAAGTT